GTCCCCGCTCCGGGGCGGCGCGGGCAGCCACAGCGCCAGGGCCATGAGGGTGGGGGTCAGGAGATGGCGGCCTAAGAAAGGAGGAGCTGTCTGAAGGCCAAGCTAGCTACACCACTAGCTGTGGAAGAATGGGAAGAGTTCAGACCACTGCAAGACTTTTGCTATGGTAAGTCTCCTAGGTTACAGGCATTTGTAAGGTGGAAGCTAGGCTAGAAGACATAGACAACCACGTAAACCACCAATAAATGAGGCCTCTAAAATGGAGAGCTGATAGTCTAGGGAAACTGCTTTGAGTGACAGGGCAGGAAAGACAGTGACTTTTTTCCTGTCCTTCCCTTCTGACATTTTTACTAAATCAGAAGATGGTGGGGAGAAGGATTTAACCAACACAGGCAGGTGAGCCATTTCCTGAGAGTCAGCAGGGAGGTGCTTACCAACACCAACAGAAATACTACAGCAGCTCCTCATTTCCTGAAATACTGCCTATAATACCACAGAGGGAATAACTCTATTTCAAAACTAAATACATGAGACAACTCCTGTAGACAAGGCTTACCACCAATCCTTTACAGTATTAACTTTAATACAACTATAGATAACAAGTTTTTGATAAAAGCTCTCCTAGAAACATCAGCTTCTTCCATATCAAAATTTAAATCAGGCAAAGAAAACTTTAATTCTAAAACTTCATGGAAAACAAGGAACAAGTGAGAACAGCATGGTTAATGTTTAGATACAACTTTATCTGTTCTAATCAGCTGTTCTGAAATAACTATTTCAATACTTACTAAGCAGCATCTACAAATTCCATCTACAAATATGCGAGTACCATTAGAAATACCTCAACATCCCTTTGCTGAAGCATTACAACTCCCCTTCTGAAACTTCTTGACACATGTTGATGAGTTCTTTTGACTTTTTTTTTCCCCCCTTGTTACTTGGTTACAGTACTAAACCCATACAGCTCAGAAGACAGCCAGGAGGGGGAAATAACCAAAGTAAAACCACCCTGATCAAATACAGAATTACTCAAGCTTCTTGCTACTTTAATTAAAAACAGTGAGTAGACTATACAAATGCAGACCTAACAAAGTTAGAAGTAACAAGACAATTTAAGTAATTTTCCACTTATCAATGCAGTACAGTCTTACTTACCAAGTAAATAATTTCTGCACTGATGAAAATTAGCAGGTTAGAACACAACCTGCCATACTTCCTATACATTATAAAACATTAAGTTGCTCAAAGATTT